TGTATGTGTGTAGATCTAATTGTTAGTGTGTCCGTGTGTACATCTAATTGTTAGTGTGTCTGTGTGTAGATCTAATTGTTATTGTGTCTTTGTGTACATCTAAATATCAGTGTGTGTCTTTGTTTAAAACCAAATGAGTGTGTCTGTGTGTACATCTAATTGTTAGTGTGTCTGTGTGTACATCTAAATGTTAGTGTGTCTGTGTGTACATCTAAATATTAATATGTCTTTGTGCACATCTAAATATTAGTGTGTCTTCGTTTACAACCAAATGTTAGTGTGTCTGTGAGTTCATCTGTGTGTGTGTGTGTGTGTCATGAGTAGATCTGCATTTGCTCCTGAGGGGTTGACGCGGCGTCCTGATGGCGTCCCGATGACGTGGTGTCCTGATGGCGTCCCGATGACGTGGCGTCCTGATGGCGTCCTGTTGGTCTGCAGACAAGGAGAAGAGACATGAGGAGGATCATCAGGATGTGTCTGTGTGTACATCTAATTGTTATTGTGTCTTTGTGTACATCTAAATATTAGTGTGTGTCTTTGTGTACATCTAAATGTTAGTGTGTGTCATTGTTTAGAATCAAATGATAGTGTGTCTGTGTGTACATCTAACTGTTATTGTGTCTTTGTGTACATCTAAATATTAGTGTGTGTCTTTGTTTAGAACCAAATGATAGTGTGTCTGTGTGTACATCTAATTGTTAGTGTGTCTGTGTGTACATCTAAATATTAATGTGTCTTTGTGTACATCTAAATGTTAGTGTGTGTCTTTGTTTAGAACCAAATGTTAGTGTGTTTGTGTGTACATCTAAATTTGCCAGCGTGTCTAAATGTTAGTGTGTCTCTGAGTACACCTGTGTGTGTGTCTGTGTGTGTCATGAGTAGATCTGGATTTGCTCCTGAGGGGTTGACGCGGCGTCCTGATGGCGTCCTGATGGAATCCTGATGACGTCCCGATGGCGTGGCGTCCTGATGGCGTCCTGTTGGTCTGCAGACAAGGAGAAGAGACGTGAGGATGGTCATCAGGATGTGTCCGTGTGTACATCTAATTGTTAGTGTGTCTGTGTGTAGATCTAATTGTTAGTGTGTCTGTGTGTACATCTAAATATTAATGTGTCTTTGTGTACATCTAAATGTTAGTGTGTGTCTTTGTTTAGAACCAAATGTTAGTGTGTCTTTGTGTACATCTAAATATTAGTGTGTGTCATTGTTTGGAACCAAATGATAGTGTGTCTGTGTGTAGATCTCATTGTTAGTGTGTCTGTGTGTACATCTAATGGTTATTGTGTCTTTGTGTACATCTAATTGTTATTGTGTCTTTGTGTACATTTAAATATTAATGTGTCTTTGTGTACATCTAAATGTTAGTGTGTGTCTTTGTTTAGAACCAAATGTTAGTGTGTCTGTGTGTACATCTAATTGTTAGTGTGTCTGTGTGTGGATCTAATTGTTAGTGTGTCTGTGTGTACATCTAATTGTTGTCTTTGAGTACATCTAAATATTAGTGTGTGTCTGTGTTTAGAACCAAATGTTAGTGTGTCTGTGTGTACATCTAATTGTTAGTGTGTCTGTGTGTACATCTAATTGTTATTGTCTTTGTGTACATCTAAATATTAGTGTGTGTCATTGTTTAGAACCAAATGATAGTGTGTCTGTGTGTAGATCTCATTGTTAGTGTGTCTGTGTGTACATCTAATGGTTATTGTGTCTTTGTGTACATCTAAATATTAGTGTGTGTCATTGTTTAGAACCAAATGATAGTGTGTCTGTGTGTACATCTGTGTGTGTGTGTGTGTGTGTGTGTGTGTGTGTGTGTGTGTGGGGGGGGGGGGGTGTCATGCGTAGATCTGGATTTGCTCCTGAGGGGTTGATGTGACGTCCTGATGGCGTCCCGTTGACGTGGCGTCCTGATGGCGTCCCGTTGGTCTGCAGACAAGGAGAAGAGACGTGAGGAGGATCATCAGGATGTGAGACAAGATTCATAGATCCAATTATTTTAATTTGATGCACATTTTAATTATTTCATGTTTGTATGGATGTGTAAATCTACATTATATATTTGTGGTTGTTAAACTGTATTTCTGTATTTGCTTTTTATGTTTAGCTAGTCTCTGTGCATACCAATATGTTAGTGCGTCTCTGTGTAAGTACTTTTTACATTACATTACATTTCATTTAGCTGACGCTTTTATCCAAAGCGACTTACAATAAGTGCATTCAACCATAGGGTACAAACTCAGAAGTGCAATTTCCTCAAATAACTTTTATATGTTAGTGCGTCTCTGTGTAAGTACTTTTATATGTTAATGCGTCTCTGTGTACATCTACATGACAACAGCAGGAATCAGAGGTTTATCTCAAGGTATTAGCTCTAAATCACAGCCTTCTCCACCCGATAGACCAATACATCATTCACAGCAGTAAGGCTGCAGTCTGTCTGGATTCCTCACTTACCTTGAGCTCTGTTGAGTGCAGCAGAACGCGTCTTCGTCCCCTCTACAGACTCCTGAGGCATTACATGGTTGCTTTCTGCAAGTGTAGGTCCGGAAAACTTCAGTGTGTAGATGCGAGGTTTGAAACTGACTGACTGGATGTGCAACAGACTGTGTTCTTATGCTGTGGTGAACGGAGCACAGAACATGGAACATGGAACATGGAGAAATGTTCCATCATGATGTAACGTCTCTATGGTTACAGTGAAGGTATCTACAATATGCAAATGAGCCTTTAGAGTAAATGTGTGTGTGTGGACGGTATATTTGTAATGATGGAGCTCATCCACTTAACATGGTGCATAAAACACTTTGCTCTACTTGTTTTTTTCTATGACCCCATCTTGATCTTGAAAGCAAACACTTTAAGAATAAATAAAGAACGATTTTTGTCCATTGTTTCATCAAGTCGGAAATTTGTAAACTGTTGAATCCGGATTTTTAAACATCCCTTTCGAGCCCTCTTGTCTCCAGTCTTCATGCTAAGCTAACCAGAGGCTGGCTTTAGCTTCACGTTGAGCGCAGACATGTCACATGAGAGTAGGGATGAGTATCGTTTGGGTTTTTCCGATACCGATCCTAAACAGAGCCTGAACCCAAACACAATTGAAGAAAGGGTTTTTTTTCACTTCAAACTATGCACAATATATGAACTTTTGAAAGTTTACAGTATGATTACAGTGTTTCCCCTCTGTAACAGCGGAAGTGTAGTTAATTGGAATTTGGGGAATATTAATCATTTAATTTGAGATTCATGTTCATTGTGCAGGAACTAAAGACATTTATTGAAAAGCATTTACGTTAGATTGACCCTCCTTGTTTGTCTCAAAGTATTGATGTGCGACACAGAAGAGCTGCATGAGGCACGAGAGCACTTCGCTTTTCTATTGTGTAGAAACATAAATACGAATAGAAGGTAGATGGCTAGCTAGCTGCTGTAGCTACACAAGCGGTGAGCCAACGTTAGCTGCTGCGAGGACAGAGTTATCAGACTGTTTAATTAGGGTGACAAAACGTCCTCTTTTCCCCGGACATGTCCTCTTTTTGAGACCTAAAAAATGCGCCCGGCAGAGATTCCAAAAACGTCCGGGATTTTGCTTCGTCGTACATTTGTGTTTCTCTGGGTCTTTCAAAAACTAGTTATTACGCCCTTACCAGTTTTGGAAATGGTGTCTCCCTTACGTTCCACCTTCTTTCGCGAGCTCTGACTGTAGAGAGAACAGGCATTGGTCAACCGATCTCAATGTTGCCAAATACACGATAATTATCCTCCAAATACGACCATTTTGAGCCTTTTGTGCGATACTTCACCATTTACAATCTGGCAACACTGAGCACTTCACTAGTTGCATTGTTTACAGCACATGACATCTGCAGCCATGCCGAAACGTAAATGTAAGTTTACGGACGAACTAAAAGAAAATACCCATGTTTTCGCCTCGGCCGTGATGCTTCGGAAGCTTTTCTTATTTTAATATGTGGCTATATAAAGCATTTACTATTTATTATTTGTTTATTTGTTATCATTATTGCTTCAATATATGGACAAGACACATTAAAGAAGCGCTGGACTAAATCCCACAAAAAAGATTTGTTTTACATTTGCACTTTTCCGTTTTGTTAAAGTTCAATAAATAGATGTTCATATAGTCATTTGTGTCATTTCATTTCACCAATATGGCACCGGTGCTCGGTACATAATCCTACATGAGAATGGTCAAATCAACTATTGCTAAGTAAAGGTTTGGAATAGCTCAAATTCAACGAACAATATCTATTTAACTCTCATTCATTACCAAAACAGCTGGGCATGGTGTAGTCTTTGGCACTGCGTTTATTGGAGGCTGTTTGAGCCCTAGATGAGAAAAGTGCCCCTTCTGCTGGAGCACAATTGTTTCTTCATTCATCAACATTTTAGAATAACTATTACTCGCACTGTCATCAAATCCCCCCAAATGTGTTTTGACATTCGACGGGGCATTTATTTGAGTTCTTGTGAGAATTTCACCGAACTGCTCCGCGGCGCCCACAAGCCGCGCTCCTTCCTTCTCCTCCTCCTCCGCCTAGTGCTCGTGCAGTGCTGACACACAGGTGATGACGGTGTTTGTGAAATCCCCCGACGTCGTTTAGTGGTAAATTACTACCAGTACAGCTAGTTTTAGGATGAAAATAAAAGAAATAAGCCTCGCCACAGCTCCGTCACTTTCTACCCTGTCTCCTCCACCTGTCACTCACCTAATCAGTTAATTCAGTGCACCTGCTAGTCACAAACACTACTGAGAGATCACATATTCTGACGGTGAATTGCTCTGCAACACACGCAAGCCTTTTTGAACCATGGATTGAAACGAGTGCGTCGACACGACTGTGCGAAAAGACGCAGAAGCATGCGCCAAATCTATTCAACATGTTGACACGCCTCCACTGCGCCGCGCCACCACTGTCCACCTCTAGAGGGCGCTGAGTGTCATATCGGTATCACTGCGACGGTCCACTCATCCGCTTCCTCTTCTTCGTTGGAGCGTTTGCCATGTTTGCGGAAGTATAATCGCTGCAGTTTGCTGGAGGAGGCTGATATTTTCTTTGCGTGCACATTTTATCCGTTTAACCGAATTCAATATGAATTTACCGAAGGGACCCGATTCTTTGTGCTTCGACAAGGATGTTTTTATGAAGGTATGAATCCTTTTCGCTGGTTAACGCGCTCACTGTAGCGTGTGCCTCTAACCAGCGTCAGCTCGCATTAGCCTTTTACTTTCGACTTCCTGCTCCGTTCTTAACCCTTTCTCGTTTATTATTAAACATACTTAAAACCGTTAACGCAAACCCCCATAGCTATTGTTGGTTAAAGCATAAAGTAAAATATGCATTCTGATGTTTTTCTTGTTCCATGTCGTGCTACTAAAACACTACATGTCTGCCGCTGTATGAAGGTATCCCTCTGTGACGTCATCGTCCCGTCTCTCTCTGCAGGATGACTTTGACGTGGACCAGTTTGTGTCGGAGTGTCGGAAACAGGTCCAGATGGAGGAGATGAGGGAGGACCTGGAGCTCTACTACAAGCTGCTCAAAACGGCCATGGTGGAGCTCATCAACAAGGACTATGCCGACTTTGTGAACCTCTCCACCAACCTGGTCAGTTGTTTGTAATTTGGTTGTGCACTCTAACCAGCAACTTGTGTTCAAAAGGAGACATGGAGGGCTTTAAGAAATCCGTGTCAGTGAGCCTAGAGGAATATTTTCTCATGATCTAGAAAAGCCAAGCTTGGTTTGTATTTTAGTCTCTTTTACAGCTAAAGTATTCATTTGTTATGTGCTCTGGAGTCCAACTAGGCCTCATGTATTCAAGTATAGAGGACTTAGAATACCGCATACCAGGTAGGGTTTCACATCGAAGTAAAGATGTGATAGTGACATTAATAGGGGCAGTGTTATTTAAACGATTTAATTCAACCCAAATTAATGTTTTTGTCTCATTTCATTCACAGCAGTCTCAACGCTCCAGTAATTTAATTTATACAACTTTAAAAATCAACTAAATGAACACAAAAAAACCCTGCATGTTGCAGTCGCCTGTGTTTTATGGTCCAACCATTTTATGATGTTTTCTCTTTTACTTAATAAGCTCTTAATATTGTCAGGTGCAGGCAGAAGTTAGACCCAATCGCAGACTTCACAAACAAAAATGATTTGTTTAGGAACAACTGCAGCGCAGACCAACGACGCAACTCACCAGCAGGGACATGGACAACTCCATGAACCCATGATCGAAACACCTGGTTTAAATACACTGGGAGGTGCAGGTGATTGGACACAGCAGGAAACAATCGGGGACACGGCAGACAATCTCACTCACAGGGAAAATACACCAGGGCAGAAAGTGAAGTTAACCCAGGGACACAGGAGGCAGGAAACTACAAAATAAAACCAGAAATGACCCCACGTTGTGAGAAATTTTATCTTGAAAAATGATAGCGCACACCAAGTCGTTTTCATTATTCAAGTCTGCAGGAGTCTGTTTCTAACGACAAACCTCTGGTTCTTGGTCTCAGGTGGGGATGGACAAAGCCCTCAATCAGCTCTCTGTGCCATTGGGACAATTACGAGAGGAGGTTATGGTACGTGTTGTGATAAACTGTAAGCTTCACATCGCATGGCTAGTGCGTGCCACAGTGTGTGTGTGAGTGTTCATGCGGGTTTCTATTGCAGAGTCTGCGTTCCTGTGTGAGCGAGGTGATTCAGGCTATAGACAACCAGCTAGCCAAACAGGAAGATCTGCAGAAAAAAAAGGTTTGGTTCTTATTAATTTTGTCTCAATGAAGCATTTGATCACAGTTTGTGTTCATTGTCAAGCATATTTTAGAATCACCATTAGAATCCTCTATGACAGTCTAGTAGATGTCTGAGCCATGTTGTAACTTAAGTATGGTTGGAACCAGCTCCATTCTTTGCCATACTAATGATTTTTTGATTATTGTACAGACATACTATTTTTCCCACAGTTGGACATTTGTCTTCATCGGTGGGACAAACTCCATTCATTTTCATTTTCATCTTCCTTTTATAATCCCATTCATCAGGTGTGTGTATTGAGGCTCATTCAAGTGGTGCGCTCAGTGGAGAAGATTGAGAAGATCCTCCACTCACAAAGCTCCAAGGAATCCAACTCTCTAGAAACCAGCAGGTGTGCAACTGACCCGCTGTCATTTCTTTATATATGTTAGTTGAATCATGGAAAGCTATTGGCCCTTACCATATATTATAATAGACTGTCCATCAATAGATAAATAAGCTAAATGAGAAACTGTCCTGGTTTTTACATTTTATTCCGGCGGTTTAAGCCTTTTTGTCCGACTTCATGTCTGTCTTTGTGCAGTCCCTTGTTAGCAGGTCACATCCTGGAGAGGATTGCTACAGAATTCAACCAGCTGCAGTTCCACGCTGTACAGAGCAAAGGCATGCCGCTACTGGACAAAGTTAGACCGGTAAGTGTTAATGGGTTAATGGGACAGGAGATGGATGAAAGCTGATTTAATCAATCCTTCAGTCCTATAATACATACTTACAGTCCGGGCAGCGGCAAAATATGAGATTGAATATACTTTGTTGCAATATTCACATCCCCTGGTTGCGTCCTCCGCCAGCGCATCGCAGGGATCACCTCCATGCTGCAGCAGTCTCTGGAGGGCGTGCTGATCGAGGGTCTGCAAACGTCCAACGTGGACATGGTGCGTCACTGCCTGAGGACGTACGCCACCATAGACAAGACTCGCGATGTCGAGGCCCTGGTTGGACAGGTGCTGGTAAAGCCGTACATGGACCAGGTATAGCATACCGCTCATATTTTGATGTACAGTTGATCCAAGGGAATTTCAGTTGGGTAGAAGACGTCACTTGATTACTTTGTCTCTTTTTCTTCTTTCAGGTGATAACAGAAGAGGCGGTGAAGTCTAGTCCCAATGGTCTCCAGTTGATGTACTCCAGACTGTTGGAGTTTGTTCCTCATCACTGCAGGCTGCTTAGAGAGGTCACCGGAGGAGCCATATCCAGGTATTCCTAATATGGAGGCCAATTCATTCAAAGCACGCTTGGATCAAGCAACTCTTTGTTGTGTTGATTGTTCTGAAATCCCCGTGCTTCTAATTGTGAAACAAACGACCCGCTTTCATCTGCATACCATTCTTTTGATATTATTTTGCATTATTGTCTCTCCTTTCAGTGACAAAGCTGACACAGTGCCCGGCTATGATTTCCTTGTGAACTCAGTGTGGCCAGAGATGATCAAAGGGATAGAGGAGAGGTTGGCCTACCTCTTCAACCCTGGCAACCCTGACATTTTCTACGAGGTACGTCCATAGGGACTGTGTGCGTGCATTTACCTCGTGTAGTTTTGTGTCAAATAATTCAGACTCCGATTGAGTCGTTTCACCGGCGTGTGGCGTCTGTTGACTCTTCACATTCTACTTCTCTTAGCGTTACAGTGCAAGCGTGGAGTTTGTGCGGCGGTTCGAGCGCCAGTGCAGCTCGCAGGCCAGTGTGAAGAGGCTGAGAGTCCATCCCTCGTACACCAGCTTCCACAACAAATGGAATCTGCCTGTCTACTTTCAACTACGGTGCATATTACCTCAATGTGATCTGGACTTTATTTTTGTTGATTATGTTGTGACGTGGAGAAATGAGATGATGTTCTTTACTCATTTGTCAAAGTACAAAAACACACTTCTTTCAGGGAAAGGTTTTATGTTTTTGGAACTCCCCTTATTTGCTTTTAACTGATCCAACTTTCATGTCTGTTTGTTTTGTATAAAGCTGGAGCCAGGAGAGGATTGGCGTAGCGCAGCATTAACACTGGAATTAGAGGGGGTGCCATGAAGTTTCATGCATATTTATGACAAGAAGAAGTATTTAAACAGACGATGTGTGTCACCGAATCACCATACTTAACTTAGCCCATAAGCATGACACCGGACCTTGACTGAAAGGCCATTGATCTGTGTGAAAAAGTGGAGAAATTGTCATCTATTTGTCAACGCCCACCCTCCACAAACACACACACACACTGTAAAGATCAGGGCTCGTGACCTCATTTCGCAACACAACCTGCACGGTCCAGCTTTTCTGGAAAGCGCACACAGCGGTATTTCACGTCATGAGCACGTGCATATCAGAGCTGGTGCGTGAAATAGCACATTGATTGTTTGGCCTTGTTTTTCCAGGTACAAGGAAATAGCGGGGAGTCTGGAGAACGCCATCAGTGATGGACTTGAAGCAGCACCCGGTTGGATTTCTTTTTTCTTCCATAGTGAACGCCTGTGTGTACCTTTTCCGAACTAACTGTGAGTCTGTACATGCCCAGCTGGCAGCGTGTACCACCTGCAGGTATCTGAGGTGCTGTGGTCCTGTCTCATGCGATGTTGGTCAGACAAAATCTACCTATCACCTCTGGCCCACCGCTTCTGGAAGCTCACACTGCAGCTCTACTCGAGATACGCCAAGTTTCTTGACGAGGTGAGCCTAACTACACCTGAGGACTGTAGTCATTTAAAGACATACGCCGTGGATTGCCAATGTCGCCGTGGCTTGCTTGTGTTCCTCACAACGTTACGCGTCCACACAGGTGTTGACGAAGACTCCGTCCCCTGAAGCCACCAAAGAACCAACCAGGCCCCTGCCGAGCTCCGCCTCCTCCACCTCCAGCCGAACGTCCATGGAGGAGGGCGGCAGTGAGAGCGGGAGTCCCGCTTCGCTGTCCACCAAACAGTTGGTCTACATAGCAGCCGACATCCAAAAGCTGCAAGAGCAGGTACACCCACACACTAATTACACACACACACACACACACACACACACACACACACACACACACACACACACACACACACACACACACACACACACACACACACACACACACACACACACACACACACACACACACACACACACACATATATATTATAATACACATGCACTTTTGGTTTTCTGGTTTTCTAACTGCCAATTGCCCCTTTTTAAATTTTCCTAATGGTTTCCTCTTCATTGTTGACAGAGTGACTGACAGAGTTTGCTTGTCTTTCTCTTAGATAACGGACGTGACAGACATGGTCAGACAGCGGCTAGAAGCCATCGGATTCAATAACATTGCTATTGTGGAAGGTAGGTTGGAAGTAATTCACCAGTTTATTTGCAGTGTTTGTCTTATTTCTGTGGAAAACATGGCAGGTGAGACAAGGCAATAAAGAGCAATGCCAGGTGTTGTCACTGACATTTAAAATCTAACCCTTCAATTTTGAGAAACATGTCGGTCACAAAATGAAATAGTTTCTACCCTCTTGGCTTCCTTGCTCAATATCCGCAGCGTGAGCCACAGGGCAATTCACTCCAAGTGTTCTCTTCCGTGTCAGATGCCCTAACGGACTCCAAGAACTGCCTATCGAGCAGCGTTCCCACTCTGAACACCAGGATGACCCAGCATCTGACGGAACGCTGCTGCCGCTTCCTGAAGAGTGCCTCTGAGGTCCCGCGCCTTTACCGCAGGACTAATAAGGTCAGCGAAGCTGCAAACGTGCACATATCTTGGAGTAAAGATGATTTACGCAACGTCCTGGAGGACAAATGCACTCGAGATTGTGTTTTGGTTTATACTTATTTCTCCTATATTCTATAAATAAATGCATGCGACGTGATTTAACCTCTTGGAATGCAGTGAAAGGCCGGATTTGACGGGAACGAGTCTGTGTCTTGTAATATTTTAATCAATAACATCTTTAGGACCCGCCAGTGCGTGCATCCGCCTACATGGACAACGCCTTACGCCCGTTACATCAGCTGCTGACGGACTCAACAGGGCTCGTCGCCCCTTCTACAGCGCAAGAGTGGCTGCGAGTTGCACTGACTGACTACACGCAGAGGTAAGACCCATAAACATTACCAGAATTATTCGCAAATCAAGGAATGAGCCGTTTAATACAATGTAACGGCTACTGCGTTCTTAAAGTATTCAGAGATTTTTACAGCTGCCACCCAAACACATTTTCTTCAGGTATTATGAGACCATCTCAGAGGTGCTGAGCTCAGTGAGAAAGATGGAGGAGAGTCTGAAGCGATTGAAACAAGCCAGAAAAGGTGCGAGTACGACTACCGCTGCCGGAGCAAACGGTGGACCCACGGACGACAGCAAGATCCGACTTCAACTTGCACTGGACGTGGAGTACCTCGGGGAACAGGTAGGTGGCGTTTGACGAGCACACAAACGCACGCAGGCGAGACAAATACTCAAACACGTGACTGACCATCCCTTGGGCAAAAACTAGCAAATATGGCTAGGTGTGATCATTTTGAGTATTCTCTCTAACACTGCTCTGTTGTGTGTCTCAGATCCAGAAGATGGGTCTTCAGCAAAGAGACATCCCCATGTTCTCCACTCTGATGGACCTGGTGAAGGAGGCCAGAGAGCTCGCTGAACAGGGCCAGTGAAAGGTTCAGTCCATAGCAACTGCAAGCCATTCGCATGCTGCTGCATTACCTGAAATGGATAATAATGATCAGGCCACAAAGACTGACAAGGACTGACACTACTGAAATCCTTTTGGTACAAAATCATCTCTATTTATTGCAGATTTTAAAGGTTCAATGTGTACAATGAAGTCTGGATTTACAGTCCTCAGTTACAAAAAATCTACTACAAGCTGGACAAGAATATTCGTTCAACCAACGCTCTGAAACCACCGGTCCGAATAACACTATGATTTGATCATCTCCACAAAAATGATGTACCAATCATTATATATGTTGGGCTAGATTCTCCATCAATGAAGCCCTATCTGTGTAAATTGTGCTCCAAGGGGAAGGTTTTAGCTGAAATGGTCTGTTTAACATGTACATTACATTTATGTTAAATTTGATATAAAATGGAATTCTTAACTCTGGAATAAATTTTAACTGTGGATACAAAATTGAATTTGTGTGTTTTTAATAAAGTGGATTAGCTAGCTAGATGTTTTTTTTTAATGCATACTATACGATACTTGATGACAATATTTGATGCCATAAAAAAGACAAGTAGGGACATACCATCATTACTTGTGTATGACTTATGGCTTAACTTCTCGATATTAGCATAAGACATCACTTAGTATACTGTGAGTATGAAAGTACCTACTTTTTTACAACATAATATATTATTAAAGTTGTCTCACTTCCTCTGAATATATAAAACGTAAAGGTTCAAATCTCTTTATGGGGCGTGTGCAAAGAAGCGAGTACAATTGCCCACAATTCGCACTATAGCCACTGGTACAAGGCTCGCTAATCAATACTGATGAGTTAAATCTCATAATCTTTCACAACCTCAAAACATTCCCTCACTGTTTGACACACAACAAACAAAATGATCCGTTCCTCGTTAGTTTCTTTTGGGTGGGGGAGTTTGTCCCCCGTGCCGATGTGAGGGTTCTGGGACAGAGGATGTCACGTGTATACAGATTGGAAGTCCTCTGAGGCAAATTTGTTATCCTGAGCTGTACAAAATAAAAGTAATTTCATTAAAATATCAAAATCTGTTAGACATACACTCCAAAAATATCTTTTGTTTTGGCTAGTATGTCATGTTTGTGTGAAAATTGTCTTAAATCTTGATGAGAAACAATGTGATTTGAGCCGTATTGGAAACTTAAGTTTTATTTCAGCAATCACAAATGTCAACAAAACAAAAATAAACTCTCAGTTACAATATACAACGTTTCAGTCATTCATCATAGAGAATTGTGGATACTGTAGCTTCTCTATTGAAAAATACTGTACAGAATTCTGCTATAATACATTTTACACGAGAGAAACAAATTAGGATATTTAACAGGCTGCTTGATAACATTTCAGCATAAAGTAAAAGCTTTTCATAAATACTGAGACGGGGATCTCCATGGATGGTGAAAGATAACACTGTTGAATATTAGATAGAACGTACTGTGTGGTCATTTTTTCGGCTGGAAAACAACAGTATGATCTTGATGAGTTTTAAAGCACTATATTACTTTACAGCGTGGGATTTGTGATCTTGCCCAGCATGAGGATGGCGTTAGAATTTCCCTCTATGACAGAAAAGAAGAATGGCCGATTGATGGACAGTTTCAGAGGAACTCCTGCTTCCTGGACCTTGTCCCGCAGTTCTGCGCCTTCTTCTGACATCTTAAACAAAACCTTGTTGATGGCCTAAGAGGACACAGAGATATCCATTAATGATACACACAAACGCACAAAGACAGGGTTTTTTTTTTCTCCGGACAACGTCACCACTCATCTGGTTCACCTTGTCGATGGTGAAAGGTTTGGTGTTGCTGAGTCGGCTGAACTCGGCCCGAGAGCCTAACAGCTTGGTCTCAATTTCTGGATCCATGTTGGTCAGCAGGTCGCGCAGATAAGTCTCAGACGACATGGAGAACTTTGGGAGGGACAGCTCCAACAGACTGGGCCAATGGACAGAGGGGGGTGGTTTGTAAGGACAAAGTCTTTGAAATGAAACTGAACGTGATAGTCATGATAGGTCTGGATTTAGGATTTTAGAGGTGCATAATACTCACCCTTCTCGGAGGCTCTGGTGCCAGCCAGAAAAGACTTTAGTGAGCAGCTTAGATTCAATCTTGTGGAGGTCGGCGCCTTCGTGAGGCAGGACCAGCAACATATAGGACCGTTTGCTCAGAGACAGCTTGACAACTGTGCACTGCAGTACCTTCACAGGGACAAAGTAACACCCATTATATTTGAACACTCATGCGAGTCAGTTTCATATTTTACAGCGGAAAATATGTGGCGACAAACGATATTTTTGAATTCAAATGTACCTTATCGTTCAGGTAGGGATAGAGACCCGTGTGGGTCATCAGCGCAGCCATCACTGTGGTGGTTTCATCAACATGAAACTCCTGCAACGTGGTCTTCTCTGGCTGAAAAGCTGTCCTCCAGTTGCCTAAACAGACACATCCAAAGAACACACTCAGGTACTGCGCAGTAGTTGACCGAACTACACAGAGGAAGAAGAAACAGACCTTGGAAGTTGAATGAAGAGAGAAACAGCAGGTCGCTGCTGGAGTTCAGATCTTTGAAGATGTCCATCACCCTCCCGTCCGATGTCTTATTCACGAAGCTGTTCACCAGCTCCTCGGCCTCCTGAGGTCTGGAGAAGTCCACCCCGCGGATGAACGACGTGTCGGAGAAGTCCTGCGTGCCTCGAATGAAGTCCTCGGAGAGCTGAGCGCCCTGGCGAGCGAAGGCCCAGACCTGTGTGGTGATCTCATCTTTGGGTCCGTCGTCCACCAGAGAGTTAATGCCCTGCAGGGTCTTCAGAACCTTGTGTCCATCCACGAAGGACACGCAGTCCTCTCGGTCGGTGTGCCTGTTCAGGTTTAGAAGGTACTGCGAGGAAAGGTTTGATTCGGTCAAAATCAACATCTCTGAGTCAACGAAAAAAGACCTGATTGTCACGTCCCTCTTTCGCAATAGCAAAGGATCAACAGGTTCATCTATACACATAAGAACAAATCAAAATCAGAGACCTGGAATGATCTTGCGGTCTTCTTGGAGGCCCCGAGGAGGAGGGTAACGAGGGATCCGTAGGTGTTGACCGGAGAGAACAGGGTGTTGGTGCCCGGCTGCTTGCTGCTGACCGCCTGGTACATCCTCAGGCCCACAGAGTTCAACAGCTCCGCCAGGACCACCGTCCTCTCGGTGATGTTCTGCCTCTGGGCGTCCAGTTCAGACCGGTCCCTGCTGTCCGCTGTGAGGACTTCCACGTCGAGGGGTGCCACAGGGCGCGTGTCCAGAGGCCCTGGGGTTTGGGTCTGCAGAGTCTCGCAGCTGACGTTCTCGGCGGCGAAGAGGTAGAAAGGGTGGACGTAGACGCGGTTGGCTCGGCTTCCTGAGAGGTAGCAGCAAAGCACGAGGGCTAGAAGGGGCCACTGCATTTTACCTCTTGTTTGGAGTCACCGTAAAACGTTTCCTTCTGTGGAGATAGATGGCGTTTCTTTTGTTAGCAATGAATTTCCTTGAGCATAGCGGCACATATAACTGCCCCTTGGGGTGTCAGTGGGGGCTTTGCGTTGGATCGCTTGTGAAAGTGGGGATCACTGTGAGCGGGACTCTGTTTTTTTCCGTCTGCGACCGGATTGTCTGTCACGAACATTGGACATAGAGCAGCATGTCAGCGATGGATTGATTACTCTTTTGTGGCCTCTCACATGCTGGTCAGTGAATGAGAGCAGGTCGCATAGATAATGAAGACGCATCGACACACATCAGCGTGCAAATTTGTGCGTTTTCACAAAATAAAAACAAAAAATAAAGAATAAAAAATAAGATGGATGTTCCACTTGGATATTTTTTGTGGCTTATTTGGTTCCTGTTAAAGCAGCTTCCAAATCAGGGATACAAACTGAGTGCCCTCATGCGGACATCAGACCAGATCAACATATGTTAAGACAAAACTGTTCATTTTGATTAGAAAATGTGATTCCTACATCCAATCTAGGCTGCATGTTAAATGTATGAATATAATCTGGAATGAGTGAATAGATAATTCACTGATATTCTTTACGCACATAGTATATAATTAAAATAATTAACAAGTTCATTGAGATATTTGCAATTGTGTTGTTGGAGCTCCTAATAAATGCAGACTTTTTATGCATTAACCTTGCATACTTGTTTTATGCAAAAATAGGACTTTATCCTTTGAGTCGAACATGCAAAATGTGGACTGATGAACTCTTGTACGAGGTAAGCAAACACCAGACTTCCCCTCTATTTGGAAATGTACCACAGGACACGGCCTTGGTCCCAATCAATTAAACTGGCATACTAAAATGTTGCTTTACTTTACTCACCCACTCAATTGATTATCAATGATGTTTTCTTTCTAGATACAGACTACGTTTTCTTTGGGTCTCATTCATTTTAGTTGTAGCGTTTATTCTTATGAAGTAAATACGCTTTAAATTAAACAAAGCTTTGTCAGACAGGCTGTTTGACACATTTTAGATATTTAGAACATTATGTTTAACTTTTGAAGAACACAATGGATCAGTCCCATTAATTATGTTAACATTTCTCCTCATCTAATAGGATTGCTGTGATTAAGTAAGTTCCCTCTTACCGTGTGTGCGTGTGTGTGTGTCTGCCGCTGCTGAGTGAGGCGCTGAATGAGGTCCCGGCTCCTCTGCTTCCCTACTTTAAAGCGTCCCCCCCACCGGCCAGTCACGCTGCTCCCGCCCTGGTTACTGATTAACCGAGGCGGCGTTGAGTCAGGGGCTCTGCTGCTATGTAGTCAGAGACCAGCCGATGTCCCTCTACGTGTTGACTTTAGGGGGATGATGCAAGCACATCCTGGAAGGGGGTGAAAGGAGAGCTCAAGTTCCATCAAGGATAATTGGGGAGCAGAGGGACAGAGGGACAGAGGGACGGCTTGTTTGTGTTTCACAGTGACTCACTCAAATGTCCCCGTTCAAATGATTCATTACGCGTGTTCTAACAACTTTTGTTCAACTTTGGGGGAACAAACAAGCATCAAGTAAACAGATCTGAATCACTTGAATCTAGTTTATGAGCAAAAAGAGCACAGGCATAATTTCATGTTGTATATTATACAGCTATTATTGTGACGATTTGTCTGACTTCATCTATATTCCCTCTTTTTGGAGTTGTCTTATATTCATTCCATGTCACATGTGCGAAAACCCTCTTGACTATAAATGCACAATAACGTGCATTACCCAATGTCAACTGGGTAATTCTGAGGAATTCTATCAGTTACTTAATGAAACCAATAAACGTGTCTCCTATCCTCACTTTAACTTTCTGACGCGTCAAGCCACTGAAAGGTTACGACTGGATTTAGAGAGATAATAAACCCAAAGTGTCCGTGAAAAAGAGCAAACAAATTACAGATGTTTTTTCTACACATGTCAACACATTTTTTTTTTACAAAGCCTATTAAGGGATCGACATCCGTGACTGTAATGAGGGAAATCCTTCACACACACACACACACACACACAGCTGGTTCAACAGGACATGGTCTCATCGTAAAGAGAAACATGGTGTTATGTTAAATGTTTTAAAAGCATCTTTAACAAACATTCTTACAGTAATTATATTGATACCAAAATGTTTAGAGTCTACAAAGCAAAAATGTATGAATGTGTAACTGACCGATTGGTATCCAAAGTCAAGTTTATTTCTGGTTTCTTAACCAATGACATATACTAGTAATACCTCCACTTACAGTATTCATATGAAGTATGATTTTATTTGTATTTCATGTATTTATCAGAAAAGTAAATTTAATTAGATATCAGGATGTGTGTAAAAGGGTCAAAGTTTAAGGTGCTTTGTTATGACAAAGTAGTAGGCCTACCGGGACTCAGTGAATGTAGAACACGTGTGTAGCCCATTGTAATGCTAATATGTGTTATTAGGAGCTCAACACAAACTGCATATAAGTCCGTTGTAAATGTCATTTGTTTTTCAGGCATCTGGTCATAAATCAAGATATTTGACAAATTCTAAATGCTGACCCAAAGAGAAGAGGTCAAGGAACATCAAAAGTCATTACAATTAACATTGAGGGGGACATTCATGTGTGCACCAAATTGTGTGGCAAATACCTCCAGAAGTTGTGGACAAAGCCCCAATGTTAATCTACGTTATTAATCCAATGTTAAAGGGCCGCTAGCTGAAAGGTCAAAGGTTATGTTTACTCTGAATGTGGCTAAAATGTAAAAAAAACAACATGTAATTTCACTGCTGTAAAACGTTGACAGTATCTTTTGCTGGATTTTATTATTAAAAAGATGAATTAATCTGATTTATAGGTTTGCATGTTCGCAGGACGGTTGCAAGCTGCTGCTCATTCTCCAGGATTGAAAATACATGAAACTGCATTAGATTATAGTGTTTAATTATTAATAATCAAATGCCTGATGTTACGTTATTGCAAAGAACAAATTAACCAGTGGAGACAGATTCTAATGGTGACAATATTCCATTGCGATCAGTGAGGCATGTAAAATCAATGGGGTGTGTGTGGGGGGGGGTCTTATCAAAAGAAAACATGAAGAAAAAAAAAGTATGCCTTCAGCAAATATTCTAAAACAATCTTATCTCTCGCTTTATGATATTTAAGCAAGTGTGGTTTTTCTCATGGCCAACAATAAATTAATAATTTATTACTGTCACTTTTAGGGGCATCACAAAATTCATGAGTGTGACGCTGACGCTTCTGGCTATATAAGCCTCAATGGTGAGCATCTGAAGCAGGTTGGAAGGTGAACAAATTCGTCATGTGGACTCTCATGGTTCTCGTAGGTGCGATCGCCTCATCCGCAGTGTCAGGTATGGTTCGCTATTTCCTTATTGTTATTTTTATTATGGGTCTTTGTCTGTTGCTGCCCGTATTGGCTCGGGTCTTTAAATACTCTGACTTTCATCATATTTGTGTGATTCTCTCATAATAAACCAGGGGCTGCACGCTACACAACACCTTGGCCGTGGTATGAAACGACACAAGGTTTGTCAAGTTAAAAGACCTTTTCTTTGTTGCATTTGAACGTCATAGGCCTATTTCACCATCAACGCGTTCACTTGTCACTGTAGGAAAAGCTCAGGTATGAATACTAACATTATGACGGCTTGGTCTTATTCAAGTGTCCAAGTGAGAAGGCCAGGATGCACAATACCAAGACCCTGAAAACTTCAGGGTTTGGGTTGAATACAAAAAAGTAAAGAGCGACCTAAACAGTGTTGTTTTTAGGGAGATCTGTAAATTACGTTTTCTGTTCTTTCTGCAGGTCAAAGTTCTTGCAGGCACAGCTGTGGCTACGACTTAGGACATTGCTCGTGCTCTTACAGCTGTGAATACAGAGGGAACTGTTGTCCAGACTATAAATGTAAGCTGAACATAACAAACACTACAACAATAAACTTGTTTGTTAGAAAGGATTTATTTTTCATTATTAGTTATATGGTAAGATTATATAATTGTAATGAATGGTTGAAGGGTATTTCACTGTTATTAGGAACATGAATGCAGGACTTCTACTTGTAATGGAGTATTTTTGACATTGCTGTATTGGTACTGAAGTTAACGATCTGAACACTCCTTGCACCCTGGGATTTAAGATCAATCTTTAAAGACTAGATTAAGAGAAAGCATTTAAAATAGTGGGTTAGATTCATAAATCAACATAATCTAATCTCTATGTCATGCAGATTACTGCTACTCTGCGATTACAACGGAACCAGGTAAACCAATTCTCTCCATAAAACTTCCATAAAAGATAAACGTACACTTTCATTTCAAGTCATTTTGAACTACATGTTGTCTCCCAGCTCAGCGCTCATGTCGTAACAACTGCGGCTCGCACCTGGGAGTCTGCTCCTGCACAAGCGACTGCCGATACCAAGGAAACTGTTGCCATGACTACAGATGTAAGTGCCGAGTCCAACAAATCAACAGCATTAAGCACCTCTGAAGCCCTGACTCGCTGAAGCAGTCCGTCCGTCAAATTACAGTGTAAAGCTGCACCGACGACAAATGCGATTGTCTCTTTTTGCTTAACGAAGCAAGACGTGAACTAGACGAGTTACGATTCACTACGCAGTAAAACAACACAACTACCACTGAGAGTGACAAGTCAAACAAATCAATGTGCTTGCAATGTGCATTGCTCTCATGCTGAAGGACTCAGTCTGTGGGATCCGTCGGTGTTTGTTTGCACACGGTGTGATTACAATGTTTGCTCACAGTTGCAGAATAAATGTCAAGATGATTGTTTCACACAGTGAGAAGAGATGTAGGAAATTTCACTTGGTGACTTTATTCTCTCTCTCCATCCTGTAGCTTTCTGCCCGACGACCACAGTCGAACCAGTCACAGGTATTAAACCCTCTCAACAACCTACATGCACACAAGCAAACTATATCATCAATTAGTTGATTGTATTTCTCGTAGACTAGGAGGCAACCCGGACTATCTGGGAGTAAATCAGCCCCCCTATAGTCTGCTAGGAGACGTATGAAATGTCTCATTACTGTACTCTTCACTTCTCTCAGCTCAGCCCTCCTGCCGATACAACTGTGGCCGGCACATGGGAAGCTGCTCCTGCTCGAGCTCTTGTCAATACAATGGAAACTGCTGTCGTGACTTCTACTGTAAGTGTTCAGTCGTTGAGTCAAACTAATCAATAGCGTTAACGTGCTGCATTGCTCTCATGCTGAAGGACTCAGTCTGTGGGATCCGTCGGTGTTTGTTTGCTCACGGTGTGATTACAATGTTTGCTCACAGTTGCAGAATAAATGTCAAGATGATTGTTTCACACAGTGAGAAGAGATGTCGGAAATTTCACTTGGTGACTTTATTCTCTCTCTCCATCCTGTAGCTTTCTGCACAACGACCACATTCCAACCAGCCACAAGTATTAAACCCTCTCAACAACCTACATGCACACGAGCAAACTATATCATCAATTAGTTGATTGTATTCCTCGTAGACTAGGAGGCAACCCGGACTATCTGGGAGTAAATCAGCCCCCCTATAGTCTGCTAGGAGACGTATGAAATGTCTCATTACTGTACTCTTCACTTCTCTCAGGTCAGCCCTCCTGCCGATACAACTGTGGCCGGCACATGGGAAGCTGCTCCTGCTCGAGCTCTTGTCAATACAATGGAAACTGCTGCTACGACTTCTACTGTAAGTGTTCAGTCGTTTTAAACTTCATCACACGTTCCACCCAAAGGCAACATTGAAACCCACGTTGCTGTTGTTGTTTTTCCAAACAGCCCACTGCCCAAGCTCAACCCCGATGCCAACGCCAGGTAGGATCGTCATTGTGTGCCGTTAGCCTGCTGCAAAATTAATAAACCTCTGCATTGACCCCCGTGTAATGTTGTCCACTTCTAGGGGGCTCCTGTGGAGGCTCTCTGTTTGGCTCTGGTAACTTCTCCAGCCCAAACTACCCCAACAACTACTACAACAACGGCTACTGTGTGTGGCAGCTCAGGGTTGCGTACGACCAAAGAATCTTCCTGTCATTCACAGACCTGCAGTGAGTGAACCTCAGACGGCCCTTTGGAAGTCATTTGTGTGAAAGAGCAGTTTCATGTGGAGCGCAAATACAAAAATATGCATCACGAAAGGAATTACACTCAAGACCATTATTCAGTTGTGAGAATTTGGCTCCAAGTATTTTGTGGAGTTTTGCTTTAACAATTCAATCATTTGTGGCTTTTATCATCTGTTTGGAAAAACAGATTGGAGAACTGCTGCGGCTGTGACTACATTTCTATCTACGACGGGCCTTCTGCTAGCTCACAGCATCTGGGGAAAGTGTGCGAGGGCAATCAGCAAGCAACCTTCTACTCCACCTCGAACTACTTGACCGTGGTCTTCCGGACTGATAGCTCCGTTGTTCGCCGAGGGTTTAACGCTGCCTTTATGAGCTCTTTACCATCAAACTCAGGTAGAAAACTTTAGTTTGGCTGAAGTGATGGACAGCCCAAATGACCCTTGAACCATACCTCTGGCAAAACAGAAATATTGTGTAACCTTACACCTTTACCCTAAAAGTAATCCAAGCTGTGACTCTCTCCCCGTCAGGTCGAGTGGACTGTTCCTCGGACAACATGAACATTGTTCTCCAGAGGACTTACCTGAACTCTCTCGGCTACGACGGCAACGATCTGTACCTGAATGACGAGCAATGCAGACCCCAGATTTCGAGAGACCAGGTGGTCTTCAACTTCCCAATCAACACTTGTGGCAACGTTCGAAAGGTAGGCAACCCCCCCCCCCCTACCCTCCTTCTGGAAAACATTAACAATCCCGATAAAAATGAGTGTGACGTAAGAAGAGCGTGACCCTTTTCCAACGTATCGTGGCTTGAACAGTTTGACAACGGCAGCGCTGTGTACACCAACGCTCTCCGCGCCTTCACCTCCGGCTCCGGCGAGATCACACGGCAGGCTCACTTCAAGATGAGCGTGGGCTGTCGGATGGCGCAGGACTCCGTGGCCCAGATCATGTACATCGTCCGTCACCATGACAACACCAGCATCACAGGCACCGGCAGATTCAACACCAGCATGGATTTCTACACGTCCAGCAGCTTCTACTCGCAGGTGTTTGGTTTGTTGGTTGTGTTTGCGAAAGAAAATCCCTCAGCTAAAGAGTTAATGGCATGCTAATGTTCTGCTTTTACACTCATAGGTGACCGAAGTGCCATACAAGGTGACACTCAACCAGAACTTGTTTGTTCAAGTGAACCTCAGCAGGGGTGACAGCTCCCTGGTCCTCTTTCTGGATACCTGTGTGACATCACCATCGGCCCACGATTTCCAGACCAGACCGTACTACCTCGTTCGCAACGGGTAAGATGGAAGTGCGCCATGTGCTAATACTTTATAATCCACTAGATAGATACTTTATTGATCGCTCAAGAGGGAAATTTTGCATTGCCAAATATACAATAACAAAATAAATTGTACCTGTATTCTCCAGAAACACACGTGTCTCTTTTACTTTCAGCTGTCCTATGGACAACACCTACCAGCCCTACGCCTCCGGCTCCAGTGCTTATGCCCGCTTCACTTTCAAGGCCTTCCAGTTCCTGCGAGCCACAGAGTCGGTGTACATCCAGTGCAAGGTCTTGATATGCCAAGCGTCCGACTACAACTCGCGGTGCCGCCGGGGCTGCAACAGACGTGCGGCCAGAGACCTGGGGTCGGCCCACGAAGGCCAAACTCTGGTCTTGGGTCCCATCCAACTCAAAGGTCTGTGTCAATCTGTACCTCGATTTGGATCCAATAGGGGGATCAGTTGGAGCTTTTGTTAGCAGTGAAACATGTAGTCACATGATCTCAAGGCAACGCGACAATAAAACACATTTTGCTATTTCTCTTCCCCAGACCCTGAAGAGAAGGAGGAAGACACCCTGAAGCAGAAAAGGGAGTAACTGGACTCTGCCTTGAGAGGCTTCAGTCATCTTCACTATAACTCATTCTGTTCAATGACACACTGAATCATACTCACCCATTTATTTCCCCTTGATCTTAATACCTGATTAAAAGCATCATCAAAAGACACCGCGTGTTGGTGTATTTCATTACTGCTTAATGAACATCAAATACCAATCAATTAATTGATTTTGGTGGAGAAAATAAGGAGACAAAAAGCCAAGTGCAATTCAGATAGAAAACACTTTACTTAGAAATGAGTAAGATTTATCCATCTCACAATGAAATGATTTGCCATCAGGCTTCAACATTCACCGTTACCTATGAACCTACAACACGCAGACGAAACATAAGGCAGTTACCGGATGCCCGTTACTGGTTAGCATGGCAACACCGAGATGGTCCTAAAAGAAAACAGTAACAATGTTCTCCACACATGTTGCTAAGCAACAAACAGGACCCGAGACAAAGAACAACCTTGCTAAATTATCAGTCTTCCTGCATGTGTTTGCTTTTTTTTTTTTTTACACTGAACATCTATTCAACAACTCAGAATACAATACTCAGTAAATATTCAGCAAAGCACTCTGATCCTTTTGATGACCGGGGGAATCTCAGTGTGTGTTATTATCACAAAGGCGCAAAGGTGGCATCCCCGGTGCTACTGAACAAGTGTTCACATGAGGCTAGACTGTCCTACACACGCAGATACTGGATATCAAAGTGACTTTGTACGATAGCAAAACATCAGAATGTGACATAATGTTATTAAAAGGATGGGCGAAACCGTTTCAACCAAACTATTGAAGTGACCATAATGCAAAATGGTGAAGGAAGTAACTTCAGAACCACGCAACTTCCACCAAATCTGGTTTGTCAGCTTAACTGGGCTGAACTAAAACCACGAGACAAGAGTTTGGCCAGGTAGACGCCATCCACGTATTTTAGATCCATAAGTGTCTTAGCAGCATTCGTATAGAAGATATTTGGCAAAAAAAAGAATGGCTACCATAGAAAACTACAATGACCAAACTCTTTTTCTAAGGTTCTGGGCCTATTCATCACAGCAAGAAGAGAGTATTGTAATATCGATTCATCTTCAAAGTAACAGTCCATTTTATCTGGGACAGACAGGAAAGTGACACTGCAAAGAATAGTATTGATGCACAAAGCACTGAAATAATTTCTATAAGGCAAAAGTAAGATCTCTCCCGTATGAGTATCCTCAGGGCAGAGGAGGTTGAGGATGTATTTCGTTTCCTCTCTTTTAGCATTTTTTTTTAAAAGGGGAACACTGTTGAGAGGCAGAGTGCTGTGTGCACACCATGAGTGTCATCACCTAAAAGGTGACAGAGATCACAGCTGAAGAGAAGCTTTACGTCGGACTTGATAACTTACTCCATTAAATAAGGTCAATTCATTTGGACAAGTAGGGAAGTTATTTCTCTGATTCATGATACCAAAAAATTACTCACCCTCATATACACTAATGGGCACCTATTTTATACATACTAAAACACATCATGTTACATTTTACACCTTCAAAAGGCTAGGCTACATCACGGCCAAGTAAAAGACCAATAAATAAAACTACTATGGTGTCCAATAAAACAAAGCTGTCCATTAAAAGTCCTTTCAAAGTTTTCCCCAGCCGCCCGTTACTTGTGCTGCCCGCGCGCAAAGTGGCAGGCAAAGTCGTACTTGCTCCTGCACTTGTGGCCGCAGATGTTGCACTGGAATGGGTTTCTCGTAGCCGTGGCAGCCCATGTGGATGGTGTAGAGGATGTTGTCGGGGAAGTAGATGTCACAGTGCTCGCAGTGGTGTAGCATGTGGGGTTCTTGGAGCGGGATGGGACAGGGCCGGGGGCCCGGCGTACTGGGTTGGCTGTTGGAGATACTGGGAGTGCTGGTGCGCCCGCTGTGCTCGCTGCACGGCCCCCCTCTAGGGCTGCAGCTGCTGTGGGCAGGAGCCCGGGACTCCGGGGTGATTGGGGAAGAGGAGGAGGCCTGGACCCACGCCGGCTGACGCAGACACAGCCACGGGAGTTGTGGCGGGATGGGGCTGCTCGATGAGGAAGGGCTTCTCATCTACGGGGGACTCTTCTCCTGGAGACATGGGGGGTTGAATCTGGTCCCTGGAGTCAGAGGGGAGGCTGGCTAACTGGCCCGCCAGTGTGGACAGCTGGTTCAGGGGGTTATCCATAACCATGTCACGGTGATTTGGAGAGTGCCCGTGCTCCGCTGGGCCACCCGGGTTATCATACGTCTCCTGGCGTAAGTGGGGCAGCTCGTGCGAGAAGTCGTTGACATTGTCAGCCTTGTGCACCGCCATGGAAGGGGGGCTAAAGTTGATGAGGAGGCGGCGGCCGTAGCCCAGCGAGCTGGCCTTCTTCTGTAGAACACTCAACATCTTCTTGTGGGAAAGTGAGCGGGCACCTTTCATCGGCAGGAGCTTGTGGCGTCGGCGGCGATGGTGCGACAAGTTGCTGCGGTCGCTGCAGCGGAAGGAGCACAGCTCACACTTGTAAGGCTTCTCGCCCGTGTGCGATCGCATGTGGGCCTCCAGGTGGCGCTCGTAGGCGGAAGCAAATGGACAGAGGTGGCAGCGATGAGGTTTCTCTCCTGTTTGATTGAGGAAGGCAGCCTGATTAACCGAAACATGTGAGTTAATCCCACGAGAATGAACCGCTGACACTTACCGGTGTGAATTCGGATGTGCTCAATGAGCCGTGCGGTGCCTCTGGTAGCATAGTTGCAGTAGCGACACTTGAGCTTGCCGTCGTAGGTCCTCTCGAAACCATCCACCAGGATCCCCGAACTGTCCTCCAGCGACAAGTCCACTGAGGGATGATCTAGTCCATTCTGACTGCAGTCTGCATATAGAAAGATCAGCCAAACGGGTATAATACGGAATAACATACCAAACAAACCACGCTTGTACTTTACTATCAAAAGAAAAGGATTATCCCCGGGGATTTAAACAGGTGCCATTCCTTTGGATTACAAAAAGCATGTAGCCCAACACTTCCGTATACAAAAACAGGTGGTTCTGGTGTTTAAATCCCAAAGAATCTTTCAGGGAGTTGCAAAGAGATGGATCGTCATTTTGTTACCTGGTGGCAGCTCGTCCTCCTCCTTGACGCCGCTGACAGAGCCCGATATCATGTTGACATGCTGAGTCTGCTGGCTCAGATACTCCTGGAAATCCTTCACGAAGTCCAGCGTGTCCGGCTTTTTCCTCGCCCATCGGAATAAAGTGATGATACGGTCCCGCACGCTACGACGACGTTTGCTCCCGGGTTACTGACGCGCAAAGATAAATTGACATTAGGATGAATACATTATGAACTCACAAGTAACTCACACATACAACAAAGAACAACAACAACAAATAAGAAAGTTAATGAAGCAGCCACGTCAACTCGATCCAGAGACGCACTGCTAACGGTACCTTTTCTAAGAGAACTTGCGGGTTAACGTTACATGAAATCGGTTGTGTTGTCGCGGTCGAGAAGGCTCGGTCGAGAAGGCTATGCAGACACAAAGACGGGATAATCCTGGAAATATGTGCACCAGCAGGAAATCGGCGCGATTCGGTGTCCGGTCGGTCGCTGTTTACACACCGCTCCTCGTCGCCGTCATGTTGTTTCCAAAGCTACGTAAGCTACGTTAGCTAGACAGCTAACGCTAGCTAGCTTATCGCGGAGAGAGCATCTCTGTCAACGCCGGAATCTGGTCGACGCGCTCTTTCTTACATCTTAATGAGTGAATCGTCAAGCGTGCTAATCGTTAGAATGTTTTCTTTCGGCCGAGTTACTCATAGAACCTGTTAGCTAAGTTAAAACAATAAACTAATTGGAGGGGGTGGAAGTTCACTCCGTGAGCATCGCCGTAAACCGTCCGGCCACCAGTTCACAGTGCCAGCGAACAAAGGTTCCCACCGCCAAAGCTTGTCAACGTTACTGTGAGCCAACGAAATCTGCTTTTCAGGACATGTTTACTTGATACAAATGCAATTTAAGTGAGACTATTTTAAATTGGCCAAAGTATTTGGTCCAAATGTTTTTTTATGACATTTACTGAACGAAAGACAAATCACAGATTCAAAACAATACACAAAAGTGTGGTAAATGATACTTGAAGAAATGATCAAACAGGTATTATTCAAAACATATAACCTAAGTTTAGAGTAGAGTAGAAATATGCAAAAATGTTATCTTTTGAGGGAATCAATGTTTTCTTGCTACGTTTTCTGGGATCAGCTCAACTATATGTTGTTGGTGTTTGGGATCAGTTCAACCCAAACCCAAGAATACCTATTTTCACTCTTATTTTCACTCTTATATGAAGTAAATTGATCAATCTAGTCTGCCTCGTCTTGGAGATAATGGGAACAAATGGGCACATAGCTCAAAACGGCAAAAAAAACAATCTTATCGTTATCTATTGCATTGTAATCACAAAAATGCACTTTTGCACTTTTTTAATAGCAACAATAGCTTTTTTTTTTTACAGACGTGGATTTGAAACACACATCTCCACCAAGCTAATGAGGTTAATGATGACGTGACACTTCCAAATGTACCCCTTGCAATTATACACATGTGGTTAATGAGGTTAAAACAATTGCATTACTTTCAAAAGCTATTGACTCATTCATGTTTCATCACAATCAATAATTAACAAGTAGGCACTTGTTGAAGATTGCATTGCCCCATTTGTGTCAAAGTCGTAGGAAAACCACTGAGGAGAATGACAATATGACAAACAACCGAGTTGTGTGAAGCTGCGGTATCCTTTTACTGCATCACAACTGTTGTTCGACACAGCAATAGTATTTCAGCAGTAATGTAAACCTGTGAAACCTGTAAACCTGTGAATTATTTACTTTGCTACACGAGTCACGTTTTTTGTGTTGAAAAAGTATCCACCTATGTTCTGTATAGTCACAGGCCGTGTGTATTAACTGTTTATCTGTCTCATAGAGAAATTATAGACTATGTTAACAGAATATTCCAACTTTCTTTAAGTAAACCTGTCCGACATTGTGTGTCTTCTGTTGCCTGACCTCTTGTGAGTACAGTTCAACATTTGGACACTAGATGGTGCACGTGTCTCAGCGATGAAACCAGTACTTCCAGTATACATCCAAAATACAATACGTGTGGACGGACTAGCATTGTTCATAAGTCTTAACCCTGACTCATCAAGATTACACAGATGTTGGCTATAATCGTATAGGAAGCGTATAGAGAGTCCTCTCCGTGTCAGCTGTCAGTCCCCGGAGACGACGTGTACAGGACCAGGGGACAACATGACAGTCGACCTCATCAGTTGAACCATGACCGCAGCCGGCTGTCAATTACATCACCTTCTGACAGCCCGTCCACGCTAATGTTATTTTATTGCAATTTAATTATCCTCAGGTTTCCACTGAGGCCGGGTCCTGTTGAATAATTTACACACAGCCACAAGGATTTGTCAGTTCGAAGAGACAAAGTGCGCACTTCTCTGTGCGCTCATTTTGTTTGTAATTCCTTTTAATTAATCATTAAAATGATAATCAAACGTTGTGTTTTTCAGCAACGCATTTCATGTAGCTCCGGCCAATGCAGCCTTTGGTTTGGAGGACAGATTTCTGAAGCCTAGAATGAATTGAAGGAAGTAATTAGGCAAACCTAATTTCACATCAATGACATGTCCACCGCAGAGTTTGTTAAGCTGTTCTTTTAAAGAGTAGTGAGCATTTATTAAGTAGAATAGGACTCAAATAATTAAATAATAGAATTGAATCTTCAAACTTTGCAAGTAAAACACGCTATTCCAACAGATTTCTTTCTATTTTGACACAATTATTCATATACTTAATGCTTTTTTTAAAGGCCTGACTTGAACTCAGAACCTTCACAAATAATATGAGCGAGTGTGAATACACACAGAGGCGGATGTAGAATGGACTCAGGGACAACACCTGTCTTTGAGAAGGTTGCAGTGTTAACCACTTGCTCTGATTCACATTTAAAAGGCCTGAATGAAAAGGTTCCCGTCTCCACTTAACCGCTTGATTTACAGGCTGTTTGTGGTTTAACGCCACACAAGACAATTGATCTGCTCCTCCTCTCGTGAAAGAAATTGGAATTTAATTTAGAGAAAGTCTTAAGCAGTTTTTAAAGACTCGGTGTCATTTGTTGGGCTTGTTGTAAAAGCTGCATTGGAGATTACCCTTCTGGAAAAGCTTTTTTATCCCAGACAAGTGCAGCCATAGTAACGGGAGACAGGAGCCTCTTGGCAGCAGAAAGGTGAAGAGGGACTTTGACAAGATTTATTCTTTCTCCTACTGAGACTGTTTCTTTCTTGAGTTCTCCGGCTCCACGAGAAGCGTTTGAAAAAGAACCGAGAGGTGGGGGATAGGAGAAAGGAGGTATATATTAAGCTTTTCTTTCCTCTCACCACTTAATTTCCTTGCAGGCACGCCTCGCGCCGCTGTAATGAATGTAATTGCCGCCTTTGATGAGAATGCTATTATCTGGATCACACTTTACACGGGCAAACAAGACTGCCCCTCCCTCCAACCTCCACCTCCCATTTAACTCAGCAATGAGACCCCCCCCCCCCACACACACAAACACAAACCCCCCCTCCCCCCCCAGGATAATTCCGGGAAGCAGTTGCTTTCTAAAAAGCCAGCGTGTGGCTCTTTTATTGGTGGGGGTTGGTGCACGCGAGCTCGTAGACAAGAGAAGGTTATATAGGGCGCGCCGGAAAACCTCTTTATCTCGTTTCTTTTCTGTGGGCTCTAAAAAAAAAGGCCGCTTCTCTCCGCGCTCGAGTGTGTCTCTGCTTTTAACACACACCTTCATCTTTTGATGAATGTTAAACTCAATGGACAGACATTTTATTGACCCAAGTTTGACCACAGCTGCCTGGGCTTTGGGAGGGAACTGGGAGAGCAAAGGAGAAATGTTTAATTTCAGAGCGGGAGGATAATGGGCTTATTTTACTCATGAAAAGGAAAACATCTTCCAGTATTTCTGCCCTCAGACCGGATCAACTCACTTTTTATGCTTATCTATTTGTGCTGTAATGGCAATGGGCTGCACACACACACACACACACACACACACACACACACACACACACACACACACACACACACACACACACACACACACACACACACACACACACACACACACACACACAGTGATCCTTCTTATCTGTCTTTCACACACCCACACACGTAAGCATGCTAAACATCCATTTGATAATAGTGGCAAACAGATATGATGGGACTTTATGAGGCGATGCCCGATAAAGCTGCTGTCACCTTAGGAAGTCTACGTGTTCTTGTGACTGCCTTATTACCGTATTAAAGCACCGCTCGGCGCGTTCGCTCGCACACACACACCTCAGCTCGCCTCTGACAACCCGGCGGGATTCTGTCCAATATTCCACCGGGCTGAAATATCGAGAACAATCAAATAGACTGTCACAAGTGACAAATTATACTATTACTCCTCAAAGATTGTCATCCTTGAAATGTATTCATAGCCATTTCTTCTTTATAGGTGAGTGATTACTCCTCAAAGCAAGCAATTCCCCCAATGAATAATTGGTAATCAATTCATTTGACTATCACGCTTTGAGAAGGGCTCCAAGGGGATCGGCGGCATTGATCACTCGTATTCACGTGCATCTATCTATCCAACACTAACTCATGGCGCTGTGGGGTTTGATGGACGCCGGCTGAGCGACCGCCTGACTCTCAATGGTTCATCAGAAACAGGTTGCCATCCGGATCCGGTCACGGAGGAGAAAGAACCGGACAATATTTTTGACTGAAGTGGCATTTTAGCGGTATTTATTTGATAGTGTTGCTATCAAAAGCACGGGCCACAAATAAAGAAGATGGTATGATAGCTTTTGACTGGCCGGCCGGCTCCCAACTCGAAATGAGGTGTCCGGTCCTGAGTTATTGTGGCCAAACGTCATTTGTACAGCCTGAAAGTGGGTACATTTTTCTAGCTTGTCACTCTATGGCTATAGGTCATTGTCCTGAATGATGCCTCTGAACGCATAGTTGCCCCAATACGAGCATTTCACTCGCACCGCGAGAGGGCAGGTAATGGATGAGCCTGTCCGCAGGAAGATAATATAGTGCGTCCACTGGCACATCTTTAATCGCCATTGGGTCACATGGCAGGGTGTCGACTCTCTGCATGTCTGCTCACATCGAGCCCTGATCTCAAACTGAATCATTTTATCTCTTCTTAGGGCTGCAACTAACAATCATCTGCGGATTAGTTAGGTGAGATGTCTGATAATAGTACAAAATGGGTACATTCAACTTGCTCCTAAAAGATATTTTGAATAGTCCAACATAAGACATGACAATGCATGTTCTTTATTTTTACTTCACCTCTGATTTATTGTATTCCTTATAGAATTATTTATCTCACTTGCATTGACTTGCCTTTCTTTTATATTTTGTCTTAATGTCTTTTTATGTTTTGCGTACAGCAGTTTAAAGATATCAAAGAGTAATAAAAAAATAAGTTACACTAAATACTGAATAAATCTATATGAACAAAACTGGTGTCAGCATTCCTTGGGGGTGCTCACAACTTTAAAAACTCAAGATCAGCTTTGAGTTTGGATCTTTGGCAGTAAAGAGGCCTCTGAATTGGACAGTCCTGCTAATGTGAGGGAACTTTGAGATTAATGAGGCCTCTGCCCTTTGAGGATATTGATCAAACCCAATCTAGCCGGGAACGATTTACTCTCCTGATGCAATTTTAATAATGTATCAACATGAACAAAACTGTTCCCAGTATTCCTGCGGGAGCTCACAGCACGAACACCACATGCTCTAAATTAGCTGCTGTTTTGATCTCCGTATGGATCTGTTGGATCGGTTGGAGTGGCTGTTGAAGAGGAGTAAAGAGGGGTCTAAATTGGACATATA